TGGGGCTCTCGGGAGCCGGCCGGCAGTGCCGCTCCAGCCCGACCCCGGTTGCACAAACAACTCAGCTGCACGACTTGTTTGGCAAGGGCTGGAGAACTTGGCTGGAAAAACGTCCTCCCCGTGGCTGTTCAGGAAAGGGCCGGCACATCGTGCCCTCCTGCAGCGGCGAGCGAGCCCCAGCGCCTCAGCTGCCTCCTGGGAGAGGGCCAGGGGTTTCCCAACCTGACTTAATCAGCATTTCATGGGGACTGGCCACTTTCAACATCTCCCTTCCCCCAGGCGGGGAGAAGATCTTCGTCTGACCTACTTGAATGAGGAAGAGCTATATAAAACTGTGGCAAGTTGAATTTTCTAGCCATGAGCAATGTCGGCTGTTGTCAGAACAATCTCGGACGCCTGATGTGCTCAGAGGGTCAACGAGGTGCTGCGGGGCAGACCAAGCCAAGCTTTCCTTATGTCCTGGCCACCTCCCAGTTTGATGCATTACAACTCCGGTTTAACTGCCTAGATAAGGCTGAGGTTGCACAGCTGAATTGCTCACGCTACTGGTCCTGGAGTAGGGGTCGGTGGCTCGATGCACCGTGGAGGGCAATGCCATTTAAATGTTCCGCAGATGATGGCTGGTACCTGGGAGCGGTGGGATTATGCTGCAGTGCTGTTGTTGCTCCCAAAAGCTTTACGTGGGTGGTGACTCCTCTTTCCTTTACCAGGCCCCTATTACTGCGGGGTTGGAGCAGATAAGGTCTACGGGCGTGATATCGTGGAGTCCCACTACAAGGCATGTCTCTACGCGGGGGTGAAGATCTGTGGCACCAATGCAGAGGTGATGCCCTCCCAGGTACGTGTGGACAGCCCCTCTTTCCAGCGATGGATACGAGTTATCGTGAGGCTAGAACAACCCAGCAACTCCCAGCTCCTCTGCGATGCCAAATCCAGGGACTCCCCACACTGGTTTTATCTCGACGGGAACAGTTGCAGTGCTAGGATGAAAATGTACACATTTGATTTTCTCCTAACTCACCCCAGCATGCAAATCCCTGCTTTTTGGGGCAGGCAAGCAAAATCGCAGCCGAGCCAAACTGCAGGCGAGCTCCTTGCACAGCTTGGCCTGAGCTCTGGCAGCCCGTGCGGAGCTGGGTGCTCCTCTGCGCTTTCCTTGCCCCACGAAGCAGGGATGCAGGGGACAGCGTGAGCCGGGACGGGCTGTGGGAGCAGCACGTGGAGCGATGGGTGTCTGCATCCTGCTCCTCTGTCCCAGGAGCTGGGGAGCTTGGGTGGGACATGGCCTTGGGGAGCGGTTGGGGTGGATTTGGGTTTATTTAGGCGTTAGCCGGAGGGAGGCTCTGATTGCATTAGGCGGGTGGCCAGACTGACCGACGGCGATTTGGCCCTGCAGCCTGCGAATCGCTGACTCTCCTGCTGCTGATGTGGCGGTGATAAGCGGGGGGCTTATCTGCAGTGTAGCTGAGGCAGGACTTTTAACCACCCTGCTGTTTGCCCTGACTTTTTCAGGGTCCTTCTTGGCTGCTTTCTGCATCCTGGGCTCAGTCTCGGCCAGGCCATGCCAGCAGCCATAAATGCATCACGCTCTGCTTACTCACCGTGGGTGGTGCAACCCGGGCTCTGGCTGGGGAGGGAGCAGCCCCGGGAAGCGCTGACAGGCTCCTCGTTAGTCCCCTGCCCTGTTTGCAGTGTGGGTTGGGGGTCCCTGCACGCCAGCAGCTCCAGCACCAGCCTTGAAGGCAGGCGTGGTGCTTATTTCCCTCTGTTTTGTTAAAAACCCTCTGATTTGCTCTATTTAGCCGTGAGCAGTTTATTCCCAGTTTTTTTGCATGCTAAAGCTGTCCTCTTGCTTAACTCGATGCTCCGTATCCATGCTGCTGATTCCCAAGGGGTAAAGCTCAGCCGTACCCCAGGCTGGCAGCCCTCGCTGGGGGGTGGCAGGGATGTGATGGCTGGGGAGGCAGGAACCTGCCCATCCTCACCGGTGCATCCGCTTGCCCTTTCCAGTGGGAATTCCAGGTGGGCCCGTGCGAAGGCATTGAGATGGGAGATCACCTCTGGATGGCTCGGTTCATCCTCCACCGCGTCTGTGAGGACTTTGGGGTTGTGGCTACTCTGGACCCCAAACCGATGACCGGCAACTGGAACGGCGCTGGGTGTCACACCAACTACAGCACCGAGGAGATGCGGAGAGAGGGGGGTCTCAAGTGAGTCCTGGGGGGGGGTTCCCTGGGATGTACCCAGGAGGTTTAGGGTGTCCTTGGCCATGTGGCAGCTCCCTGTAGCGCGTGTGTCTCCATACCTTGGTGGCTGCACCAGGCAGGGCAGGGACTGTCCCAGCTCATTTTATTTTAAAAGCAAGCTGGTCATATGAGAGTGTCCCCTGGGCTGTCCTCGTCCCTGCACCGAAGGAGGCAGTGACAGCCTTCCTGGCCATGGGAACACCCCCCAGATGGACCTACTGACAAACCCAACCGCGTTCTCCTCTCCTATAGACACATCGAAGCTGCCATTGAGAAGCTGAGCAAGCGGCACGACTACCACATCTGCGTCTACGCACCGCGGGGAGGCAGGGACCAATCCCGGCGGCCTACCAGCCCCC